TTACTGAAAGCATATGTTTGGAAGTTTCGAAGTGTGAAAATTGTGATAAAAACTTCAAATCCATAGAAAAACCAACCACTGAAAACTTTTTTCAGAAGTACAAATGAATTCCTACTTTTCACGATAGACGTTATCGAAGAAAAGGACACAGGTGAACTTGACGATGACGTAACGGATGTTATAATCAACAGATTGAGGAGTATCCTGCACTCCTCTGTTAAAAACTCGATAACGTTACTTACGCTTCATGTTCGTTCGAATCAAATCTCTTCTGTCCGTCATAACATACAAAGGAGTTAGGTATGTAGTACTAATTCGGAAGATGCCGATAATATTGGAAATCCAAAAACGTGGTTGAGTTTGTTAAAGATCGAAATTGTATAAATTCTCGCCACAATGGAACAGCAAGCGGCTAACTTGAAACTCATTTTCATGTGTCCCGCATCACCTCTTCCGTCTGAACCGAAACTTGAAGTCAGAGAAAATGCGTTGCGAGAATTATCGCTTTCAAAGAAAAAAATAATCTTGATGAAGAATCGAAACCGAACAATCATCTGTGCTGGCGATAGAAAAAGTATGACCAAACCTGATATCCTTTCTTCAATTTCGGTGCAGCAGGGCTCGAGAGACATTAGTGACCAAATAACATCATGTACGTGACAGTGCATTTTCTAGTTTGATGAGCGGATTGATGGTCGAACTACTTATGAGGTGTTTGATGATATCACACGAGCAACCACAAGTAAAAATAATTAAATTCGAAACTCATGTTTAGAACCTGTGCTTATCCTGGTCTTGGATTGAATCGACTATTCAGTTCTTATGCTTTCTCTTTCGTATTTGAAACTCTAAAAAGACCTTTAAGCATCAATCAAACGACCAGTCAGCTAACCCGTACAGGCACATCTGACTCGCAACCCTTTTCCTCTAGCTAGTAATAAACCATATCTGAGGTATATACAGAACTTTAATAGGAAGCAACAGTAACAAAATCAACAACATATGTCAACAGAAAATCAACAAATTATTCATCAGCAGCTTTGCTCTTCTTCTTTTTCTTCTTTGGCTTCTCGGCTTCCTCCTCATCATCAGCAGCTCTCTTGACCTAAAATGACTCCATTACTAGTAAATTCTTAAATATGAAAACAAAAAGAAATTCTAGACTTGGTCAATAATATTGCAGACTAGCGAATCGAAAATTCCCTCGGCGAGGAAAAGCCGGATTAGAAGAATGCGTTAATTTTTTAATTTACGAGTATCAACTTACAGCAACTGGTGTTGGTGCTTCTTCCTCTTCTACAACCTTCTTAGCTTTCTTGGCAGCCTTCTTCTTCTTCTTCAAAACTTTGGTTTGGACTTCCTTAGCTTCCTCCTGGGCCTTAGCCATAACAACAAGATTCTTTTGAGGAACCTCACCAGTCTCGAAATACTTCAGTCTTTCTTCGACTTGAGCGCGGAGATGCTCTCCGAAAGTAGTAACAGGTACCTGAATAAAGATCATCTTGAAATATAAGTACAACCGTGAACTTACATCAGAGAAGCAATCAATTCTAGCAGCGATGGAGCACTTGTTGGCAAGGAATCGAGAAACTCTACCCTTGTTCTTGGCGGAAGCTCTACCAATGAAGGAAGAGTGGAACAACAATCCGTATTTAGGAGTAGCAGCTAAACAAGAAACTTTATCATGTTTACTAATATTGCAAACTTACATCTAGTCTTCAAAGCTCTGAACAAAGCCTTTTCAGCTCCCAAAATTTGAACGGTGGAGGCGGGATATTTAGAGAGATTTGTTAGTGAACCAGCGTGAGAAATGAGGCGAGCTCCAACTTGTTCTCCAATCAGAGCACTGAGGGAAGGAGCACAGTTACCCATTCTGTCCTTGATGTACTCATGGAGTTTCTGTCTGTACTCAGTTAATTGAGCAACTCTGTTAGCGAATCTGGAAATTTGTAAAATTAGCTCAAATAGTTTGTTAATGATAAAGAAGAAATGTGGGAGCCACTACGAATGATTAATCCATGTATGGATTAGCCATTGTCTGGTGTTCTCTACAATTTTCCTTGCCACAGACCAGGCAATCAGCATAAAGGCTGAATACCCCGGCTTTTTTACAAGGATCTAGAAATGTCTAATAGAAACTATTAAAATTACCTCTCGATGTTAATGAGATCCAACTCAGAGATGTCCATACCACAAGAGGTACGAGCAGCTTCAACGATTTCGGCAGCCTTCTCTTCATCTCCCTCAACAATCTCGGTGATCGTGGCGAGCATCTCTTCGTTATCAGCGACGGTACTGCGATCAAGGATGGTGACAGCGAGACGAGCATATTTGTACTGATCAGGTACAATTCTGAACAACTCGGGGAAAGAGTATGAATACCTGAATAATTAAAATTTTTGCAAATATGCCTTTATCAAGATTACCATTCACGAATACGCATTCCGAAGAGGTTGATATCCTTGTCCAATTGATCGAGGAGAGCGATAGATTGGATAACCATGTTATCTACTCTGTGGACATCGAATTTAACCTGAACATCTCATGTTAATGCCATATAGGAGGCTATAAGTGCCTTAGATCTAGAGTAACTGTGACCAAGGGAGAGTTGAGCCTTGGCGAGAGAGTGATGAGGCAAAGACTTGGCCAGATACTCGAAATGGACGCGAATTCCTCTAAGGATCTGAAACAAATTTCACTAAGTTGTGGCAACAATCGTCATCGGTGTTTAGTATCTCTTTAGACAACTAACACACCTCGGTAATAACGCCACCGAAAACTAGCTTAATATCAGGGATCGCCTCAGTAAGCGATCCCGCTAGTTTTGAGTCATTAATTCCAAGAAGACATTTCTTCTTCTTTTGGGGGAGATTGCTCTCGAGGAACGAAATTAAATCGGCATGAGCAATTCCTATACTAACGCACTGAGTCCACAAATTGAAACGAAAGTCTTACCTTCAGAAATAGAGTTACAGTTTTCCAAGGCAGCTTCGGTATTCTTGAAGGGATCGAAAGAACTCAACTGGACGACAGCACCAAACTTAGCTGAATCAGCAATTGAAGCATCCACCTGTAAATGAAAGCGAATGTAAAAAAGAACCAAAAATCCCAAAAATCATTAATCTCATTGAGAACTCTACTACGCTAACTTATCTAGCACACATACGAATCGTTCCTGTTCTGTATAACTGGACCGGGATACCAGCGTGCGAATGTTTTTTTAGAAAAAAAATATAAATTTACCTCTGGGATGATAAGACCAGCATCTTCGAATTCCTTAACCTTTAGAAGGGCATATCCAACAGCATGCTCATAGAGCACATAATGAGGTACCTCCGACATCACTGGAGAATCCTACAAGACGAATCATGGTTAATACGAAACTATCATGCAAACAATTTATTCCTAAAATATTTTCCAAAATTGTAATGGCGTGGTGTACGGTATTTCTTTCCGCACGGGACGTATCCAGTCTATCAACGCACTCCTATCATTGCCCGCTGTTTACAAGGTTGTGGCACAGGAGTGCGATATAGCGCATAGTTGGTTGGATTACGGTAGTTTCTAAGTGAGTTGGGGAAATGAAGCAGGATAATGTTGAAGACATAGATGATATAGATGTGAAAATCAGAATAGCTTGTGCTACATAACTTCTGAAAGTCAAAACTCTCGCAAGTTCGAAGAAAGTTCAACGTTGATAAGTCTAAGTTGGAGAGTAATGTGCACGGCATGTGTTTTTCTCGTGTGATTTCATAAAAGTTTCCATTTTCACAGTTTGATCTGATAGAGCGGTTGTAATTAATTTTCTCCCAAACAGTTTTGCTGCAAAATTGATAAAAATGAAAACTTTGAAATCGTTCGTCCCTTGAATTATGGGTAAGAGAGTTAAGCTCCTCCTTCTTTCCAAAATATTGGCGATTTTAATTGAAATTCTTGTGTACCACATTGGAAATACGGAATACACGTGCTCTGTAGAGATAGTGATGTTGGAGTCAACTTTGATAATGAGATGGCTTTAAAAGAGCTGTTGGGACGAATTCAGTTGAGCACCGATAAGGGAAAGACTTAGATTCTGAAATTTCTGTTCCACCTGTCTCTTGTCGGAAAAAAAGTGCTAAGGTCATACAGACATGTGCAAGATGATTCTCTTATGTCTGATCACTCTACTCTCCTTAGGAGCTCAAGCTCAGATATCCGGACCCTTGACTGATGATTTCAAAAAATGGCTCGAGAGGTTTGTTTTATTTCATCCGAACTGAACTCTACCACTTCTAAAAACACTGTTCTATTGAACACCCCAAATCCAAGTACTCTGAAGCTGATCAAAGCTTCTGATCATCTTTCGCACACCTCCCACCCTTCAACATCTCCCAAAGTGCATTCTCAAGAACGTTGAGAAACTGGATGAATTTTAATTATCAAGTCCATTTTTCAGTAATGGTTACGGTCCTGATAATTTCTCTAGAGACGATTATCAGAGCAAAGGCAGCTTCGGAGGTCTGACTGAATCAGCAACTACGGTGAGAACATCGGGTAATTCTCAAATATTGATGAGTTGCTTCAGGTTCACAACACACCTGTCATTTTCATCCATGGCAACTCGGACTCTGCTTTGAAATCATCATCTTCAGCTACTGGCTGGGACAAGAGTATTCAAGTAATAAATGGGTCCAAGACTGATCTAATAGCTATTTCCTTACAGTATTTCTTAACCAAAGGATACACATCAGCAGAGGTTTATGCTACATCCTGGGGAGATAACAAAGCTTCAAACGCCGGAACAAGGTACATCATAGAAGAAGATGACGTAGTCATCGAGCACATTGCTACAAATGGCTTGAGATCATCATCTCCGATTGTAACGTCATAACTTGGCATTTATAGAACTCACAACTGTTTTGATCTGCAAAGGCTTCGTCGGTTTGTTGAAGCAGTACTGGCGTATACCAAGAAGCCTAAGGTTTCCATTGTTAGTCACTCTATGGGAGTAACGCTAATGAGAAAAGCAGTTTTGGGAGGCAGCATAAGCGCTAGCGATGGTTAGCTATTAATTTTCCCAGATATCTAATGTTCTTCAAATCTAGGAAATTGTAATCTCGGAACTGCTTTGAATGACAAGATTGAGGTGTTTGTCGGATTGTCTGGCGCCAATTACGGCTTATGTGCATGTGAAGGATCTGGCACCATCGAACATACGTGCAATAAGAAGGTGAGGGAAAGCCCGCTTGTGAACATATTCTACTATCTTTTCAGAATGGATTATGGCCTGGAGATAGCTGTGGATTGAATTATTTGACTTGCGGATTGAAGCCTTTGCCATGGCCATGCAGCAGCGTTACTTACTCCAGTTTCTTGATGGAAATGAATGATAAACCAGTTGCTGTTGCCGAATATATTTTCTCTGCTTGGAGCTATAGTGAGTGTGATGACGAATACGAAAGTAATATGGAGAGATCTTTAGGCGATACTTTGATTGGCTATGAGAATGAAGTTTGGGCTCGTCCAACCTCATTAATCCCTCTATCAACTGGAAAGAAAATCTACGATACCTACTCTCATATGGAAACGAAAGAGTTGACCTATGACGATCAGTATCAAATGGTAAAGAACCATACGCTTTGAAGACCCCTACCGAAGGCTCATGGAAGTACTATCATATACATACTCATATACATATTCATATACATATCTATATATAGTCTTGCAATCATAAACTAATAGAATCTCCTACATTTATACATAATTTAGTTCGAATAAACAGCAATCACCTGTGACTTCCTGTCAATTTGTTGAGTTCTCAGATGATGTTCTGATGACTATTCTCTCTGATAATCGGCTTATTTCATTTATTTCATATGGTCATTATAGCTTTTCCGTATACCGTTCTTTCTCTCTCTCTCCGATTAAAAATCAAAAAGCCATCAATTCAAGAATGTAAAATCATGGAAAGTTGAATGATGGAATTCATCGAAACAATGTTTACGAGCGAATCGTGTCCTACAGAAGACCAATGAGCTCAATATAACACATATTTTGAACCAAATTCCTTGCGAATTTTCAGCAAAAGCATCTTCTTAGCGTTTCTTATCAAGCACATGGCACTTGCTACACTGTCCATGTGGCTGTGAGAGACCGAAAGGAAAACGAAATAGATAAGCTTCTTCATTTGTAATTTCGAATGATTCATGATTCTCTTCATGTTTTCTTGTTTTTTAAGTAAAATAAAATGAAGGGGGGCTAAGATGAAATAACAAAGCCAATGGCAACCGTCACATAGAAACTCTGCTGCTCAGTTCATGAAACAAGAAGACAAATATGGTTTGTTACTGAAACTTGTCTCCTATTTACATTTTCATTGAAGTTATCAGCTTGTGCTACGTTTCTTCTTACGCGCATTCAACCACAGAAAACAGTTTTAGTTGGAATAATTCTGATAGGTTCGCTAATTTGTTTTTACCAATTCTCATTCATTTAGTTTGTTCTTGGATCATTTTGTTCGCCAAATCTACATCTAATCAAGAAGAAACAAATTTTATGTTGTCAACAGCAATGCCCTCTACGGAAATCATAGATACCTCATCATATGCTGATGTTACTGATTATGAATGAACATTTCCCCAATAATGTATACTTAATTAGAATATATTTTCCTATTCTCACATGCTTTTTCACGTGGACTCTCACGTGAAATGTGATCGTGTCGATTGTTCATTTGAAAGCTAGTCAGACGTGAGGATCGGTTGTGTTTTGTAGTATCAATGGGAAAATAGTTGATTCAAAGCAATAATTGAAAAGAAATATTGAATTATTCATTAAATGAAAATATATAATTTCGTTTTCTTATCAACATAATCTAAAGACTATTAGGTCATTTGAATGTGGATGGAGTTAGGTAACCATGGAGATATATCTATATCTCTCTATCTAAAACTTAATGCTGAAAATAATAAACATTTTAAAAAAAGAAGTTTTATTATTAGTTTTATGCGGAAACCTTTGCTGTCATGTTTCGTTTATGGCTTCTTCTCATATGAAATCGTTGATTGGTTTCATTCATATTAAAAACTTGAAAGACTATGTTTCATAACATAAATAAACAATACTCTTTTCCATACAAGGACATTGGCGCTCACATTATCAAACTTCTCTCCCAATGATCGTTACCATGAGAAGTACGAGAAAACAAAGTAAAAATTTAATTTAATTCCGTACCAGTCACATATAAACACTATTGATGATTTCAATCTCCACTTCCAGCTCTCTCTCTCTCTCTTTCTATCCAGAAGCAAAAAAATGGATATATTGATAATTATTTTCAATACAACATTCATTATCTGGATGTGGCTACATGGAAATCTCAATAGAATATTCGGATTGTAAATAGATCAGATGAAACGTTATAGAAACTGCTCATGTGGTAAGCTATCAGCTGTCAGAACATTTATCTGAACATGGCTTGGGAGGATCGACCTAACAGTGCGTGTACTGATCAGGAAACAGTATGAATGAAGAAAGTGCTTTTCACGAAGATGGACTATCATGACGAACAGAAACCTTTTCAATAGGATTAACAGCAAGTACGAAATTGCTTGTACTGCACATGTTCAAGTTTATAAAGTTCTGTTAACATCTGTTGAGATAACGAAAGCTCCTTTACGAGGACAATATCATGCTTGAACGAGAGGTTCATATCGTATACCAAAAGCCATATTATCTGTTTCCAAAAAAAACCATATATCACGAAAAAAGCCATCCATTTCATAAACAAGGTTTCATCTTTCCATTCTGTCACTCGTCCTCTTCGTCATGAACTTAAATGCCAATCGAAAGAACTTGAGCGATTTGGAAGTTCAGACTGAACTTCGCTTTCCGATCATCCCGACAATGATTTTCCCAAAACAAAAGTTTAGTTTGAGTTCTAGAACTCCTAAACTTCATTAATTTCTCCTTGTCCTACCTTCCGATAACAGCCTGAAGTCATATGTGCATATATGGTAGTGCTGTCGTCACGTTTCCACGACTTATGAATAAAAAAATTTTGAAATTGCTGAAAGGTCGTACAATGACGAACATTGCCAACCCTAACGCAGGCTGTTGTCGTCAGATTTCCACGTCTTCGGAAGAAAACAATTCCGAACTTAGGAACTGATCGTTCAATCAGTAACATAGCTGGTTCAGGAGCATATTTCATATATCATATTGACTATTTATACATTTATTATTTTATAAATAATAAATTGTTTAGTTAGCATATAAGGTTTTCGAAACTTCATTTACTTTTACAATTTCATTTAATCAGCTCTATTGAACCCTTCTAGCCAGGTGTTAATGATTACTCTTGTTGGCGAAATGCCATTGAATGTGATTTTTAATTTCTCTCAATTCTCCATATATCATATTATCTATAAAAGGGGTGTGTGAAATTTTTTCTAACAAATCACAAGAGCTCCAGATGTGAAATGGAGCCAATGCTATAGACGACGAGACTGGGCGGTACCTGCAATCAGCAGAGCTCATTCGAAGCCCTCTCAGTTTCATTCCGTCATGGTCGACGGCTACCTGTCTTCTCCTCTCTTTCGACTCACTTGTCCAAAATTGTTTTTACTCATGACTTATGAGTAAAAATGAAATCGTAAATTAGAGACTAGATCTTGTTCACATTCTCTCTTGAAAACTACTATTTCTCAGAATTTTCTCTTACCGTTATTAAAATTATTTTAATTTTTAGCTTTCTCAAGATGTCTATTCTCTCAATTGCCGGTCTTCTATTGATGATCTCATCTGCTGTGGCTTTGCAATGCCATCAAGTTCCCAACCAAGCAAGATTAACTGATCCCATCACAAGTACATCTACGGTAGGCTTTAGCCAGTAGGAAATCAGCTGAAAAACCTCTATTCAGGAATGTGGATTCAATGCCCTGTCTTGCACGAAGGTCGTCGATATGACTAATGGAGTGTATACCAAAGCATGTGGTATCAGCAACTGCACAAACGTACGTTTTATTTTTGTAAACTTACATCTGAGAAGTTGAAAACAAAATTTGATGGAGCGGGAAGTATGAATTGAGTTTTGTAGTAGAGAGAGAGAGAAAGAGAGAGGGTTGAGAGGTAACCAAAATCCTGACTCTTCCGATTCCCCATCTGAATTTCGCCTAAATATGAGATAAGTGTGAATATGTGAATTAAGGTTGTATATCTGTGTAATTACGATGATAACTCGTGAGATAAGAGAGATAATATAAAATATGGAAAGTTATAGAAATGGTCATGTTGCCATGGTAACCATTTGAAATTGAATAAAAGGTTTTGCTGAGAAAGGGAAGGAGATAGAGTGATAATGATGAATGGAGAGAGTATAGAGAGTTAGAACAGGAAGAAACAAAAATGAACGATGGGAGCAGAGAGATTGAGAGATATAATAAGAAAGAATGAGATTCAGAGAGAAAGTGATGAAGTTATGAAAAAAAATTTGATAAAATTAGAGATAAATACAAAATGGAATGCGACCAAAGTATTCGTTCAGCATGAGATAGAAAATCAAAAAACTAATTTGCATATTGAATCGCTTTCTCTCACGTGATTCATACGTCAACATGTTCATATTGGTTTTTGCATCTGCTCGAGACGGTTGTGAGATATTCTCTGGCAGAGAGAGAGAAAAAAAATAGAATTAATTAAATATCAGCAACTTACAATATCTTTCATTGCAGCCTCAAGGAACAGGCAATTTGCCGGCTCAATGCTTTAACACAAGCCAACAAGGACGTGAAACATATAACTGCTGTTGCTATGGAAATGGGTAAGAAGATGAAAAAAAAAAACTGATTAACATATAAATGATGTTATAGATGTAACACTGCTTCGGAACATAACTTCTTGGGAGTTCTTACTGGCTCATTGATCTTCATACTCGCTTCAAAGTTCTTCATGTGAATGTTGCATATACTGTAGTTAAACAATTGAATATATATTTTTTATTTTTTTTACCTCAAAATATGAATTTGTAATCTTTCCACAATTATATATTATATATATTATATTCCATCCTAAATATGCATATTTTTATAATTAATTATATATTATTAATAAGCGATTGTGAATATCTCCTTCTCACTCTTACTATCTCTCTCTCTTACTGTATCTCTCTCTCTCTCTCTATCTTTCTATTTCTTTTGGTAACTGTCTCCATACACACCAGCGTCTCTTCATTACTCTTTCTCTCAGATAACTTAATAAATCGTAGTTTGAACATGAAATCTTTGTGAAAATCTGAAATCCAGCATGCGTTTTGCGACAGCAGATACAAAGAGTCTGTCTCATTGCTTTCTGATTTGGAAATCAAAAAAAAATCTGCAACAATGATAATTCTGATGGTGCAATGTGATAAACAGTTGCATTTTTCTTTGAAATCACAATTTGAACAGATTGGAGCGAATGTTTTGAAATCTCTACAAAGCCATGTATGGCATGTAATTACAAAGTCCCCCTGGAGCTATATGACTAACTTATAAGATTGGAGAGAGAGAGAGAGAGAGAGAGAGAGAGTGACAGAGAGAGACAGAGAGAGAGACTTTGTCTTTTAAAACATTCATTTTATTTACGATTATAAGTAATATTTATTACTAAAATACATGGAGCATAACATCTCATTTAACTACCTGACCATATAGTTAGATGTGGTTGTAGAGGGAGTGGGATAGATACTGGTTGCTTTGAAGAGAGGCAGATACAGAGGAAGGGAGAGATTAAGGATTCCAAATGCTTTTCCTAAATTATGATTTCCAGTTTAATCTAGTATTCCACCTCTTTTGCGCATAACCTATATTATCAAAATAGTCATGAGTGCTTATCGATGAGCTTCTGTCCCACCTCTCCCATTTTTCGCCATCAGCTATTAGGGGCAGGCTTCGCATTCTACTCGACTGATCACATATAAAGCTTCTCCTTCTTCATTTTGCTCAGTTTCAAAAATGCTTTCATTTGTATCTTGATGGTAGTGTACATTTCGTTTCTTCCATTCTCCTACTTTACTGTTTTATAAGAATAGAAAGTGGCTTAGAGATAAGTGAGATAGAGAGAGTCGAGAGAAAGCATGATAAGTGTTGCTATGGGAGATCAGATGTTCAATAAATTTTTGTAAATAATATTTCTTTTTTTATATTTTGTGTTACACAATCACAGAAATGTTTTCATCAAGGTTAGATCGTATAATTAGAATTAACCGAAACATCAGACTTCAAGCATATTTACTTCGTTTTCCAATTGCTACTGTTCCCTCTTGCTAGCGATCGCTCGTTCAAGTCCTTTTGGTCATACAGAAGAGAATCCTTTCACATATTGCATTCGTTTTGTTTTCTTTCTCATCAACACTTGTTACAAGTAAATATTTCCTTTTTACTATTCGTTTTTGTTTTTTCTTCAGATGCTCTATATCAGACAGCTGGTTGTGTCTTCTTTCATACTCATTCCGATCATTCATGGATTGAAATGCTACACCGAACAAGGCTTCATAAACCAAACAAATCTTGGCAATCTAACGGTCTGTGAGGAGCTATGCGTAGAAAAATGATTGAATTGTGCTCAGGAATGTTATGGTGTAGCTTATTCATGCAGTAAAACGGTGAATTATAACACAGGAACCTATGCGAAGTCATGTAGCCCATCGAATTGTACGAATGTGAGTTAGCTGAGCCGCTTCCTCTTCATATGATGCGTTGTGATTTCTATTTTAGCCCAATGATTATTCTTCGAATACTGCTGGATGTTTTAATAATACCCGCTCCCCTACCTTTTCCGGAGAGAACGTTCCGTTAACATCAATTTGCTGTTGTTATGGCGATGGGTAAACAATATATTTTTTCTTATTTTAGCAAATATTCTCCCATTTTCAGTTGCAACTCCGCTCCGTCTCCCGTGAACCTTCTTCTCTCTGTCGTCGTCGCTTCAACATCTTTCATTTTCTCATTTTTTTGATTGAATATCATCTATTTAATAATAAACTGAAAAATATAATCTGTGTAATGGAGAAGTCGTATGATAATGGAATAAATAATTTTTACGAAAAGTTTATTGGAGAAGTTCATGTGACAAACACCTGTCACATACTAGTATAGCATTTGGTGATCGTTAAAAGGACACACAACTATGGTTATGTTTGAGATTTGTTAAACTGAAAAACTATTTTTGAAAGTATTTATGTCTATGCAATAGAGGTGGTGGAGGAGGTTAACATCATTCCTATGTATTGATATTAGAACATGAATTAAATTATTACAATGAGAAGAGGGAGCAGACTGTCATAGAAGAGGGATAAAATGAGAAAAGAAGACATTGAGATGTAGAGGGCAAAACAGAAAGAGGGCTCACAATGAAACAGATGAGATAACAGAGAAACAGACCGAAGGGTCTCGGATCCTGAAAATAAAAAGAGATAGATCTAACTCTTTTAGTGATAGTAAGAAAGAGATCCAAGTGTTGTTTCTTCAGCTCCAGCCTCGTTTAGCCTCGTTCTAAACTTCTGCATCGTTCAGAGTGTAATCTGCTCTTTTCTTCTTCTTATCTCTGCTCATCCTAAACTCTTACACCTCCCTCTGTATCATCTCTTCCCTTCTCTCATTCCCTCTCAAATCTCTTTAGCTGAAATCTTCTCTAACACCGACATACACCCCCTCGCCTTAGATCTGGTCCACTTTGCCATCGACCATCTATTTAGCTTTAACAGCCTCAGAACTTGTTTCTAAAGTTTCTTTTACAGTAGCTCATGGATTTCCAAACAGACTGTTCTCTTTCTCTGCTGTCCATTAATCTTGCAGCTTCTGTCTTTGATCCCTCGTTGTGATTTCCTTTTTATATTCCCAAACCTCTTTATCACTTTATTGTTTTCGTTATCGTTACAACTTCTTAAATGCCATCTGAAATACTTAATTCTTACATTTTTTCTCTATCCTACTGCATTCTCTCTCTACATCTATCTATTCACTCTCAACTCTTTCTCTCTCTCTCTCTTCGTGAACTTCTCATCTGGTCTCGATACCTGTGAACATTTTCAACTTGAAAAATTTTTTTGGAGGTTTAGAATGAAAAGAAACAAATTAGAAAGAAATTTATAGGACGAAAGCTATAAACTTATGCTATCTTGGTCCGATTGAGTCTTTTCTCGTCCTATTTTTCTTTTAAGTCAGCTGTTCTCTTTCCTCTTCCTTTAACCAACCTGACATTGATCAGATTACCATATGCCATAGACGTTCTCCCAGTTGACCGTTCCGTTTTTTATAATCGATACTTTACATTGTTATTTGTAATTTTAAAAAAACAATATTTTTTAAAGTAAAATCACTTGACAGCAAGGATGGCGGAGGCTGCAGCACCTCCAGCTTCAACAACTACTCTCTCCACCATTGCTGTCAAAGCAGGAGATACATCGACAGTAGTTGTAGCTCTTCTGAAGGTTCTCAATGGAATTTCTTGACGAAATTATAAATATAAAAATGCTTTCAGGCCCAGGATCATTATGAGATTAGGATAGATGAAATGAATCCTCGTCTTCTTACAATCGGAGGAGGAGTAGAAGAAACGAGCGAACTTCTGAGAGTTCATGAGGAATTAATAAAACGATTAAGGGTAAGTTAGAATTCAATTTTTTTTTTCTTTTTTTTTCTCTCCGTGTTGTTCTCATCCCTTCTGAATGTCTCCTTCTATAACACTTCCTCTAGTCAGACCCACGAAAACATTGCTTTTGCTCCTAATTATACCTATTCGATGTGCGAAGCCAAAGTACTTCCGACGATTCTTTACACTATCAATGGAATAAATGGTTTATCGAAACAACCATTATACCAGCTGTGTGCTTATAATCAGACTCACAGTTATCAAGAGTCTTCACCGCAACAATTTGTCCTTTCATTTAACTCTCAAAGGAATCCAAAGCTCTTTTGAAATATTTCGTAATAGCCAGCTTCTCATGTTTTTCTGATTAAATTAACATTTAGAGTTTATAATTTTCTTTTTTTTTATTCTCATTAACGTATAATTAATTATTTAATTCGAAAACGGTATTTACACCCATTCTCAAGTGCCTACATATTTACGTGGAAATCACGTCAAACATGTTTTGAAAGTCACGTACACGCGTTATTCATTGTTGCAAATGAAACACTAAGATGCGGTTGTATTTGAAAGCTGTTTGAAACATTCAAAACGATACAGAATGAAATAGTAGGTTAATCCAGTTCTTTTATGATTTATCGGCAGATGTTGTTGAATTTTGATACTTTAAACCCTACGAGAAGTGTATTGTGTACTTACAAATGACGCGTTTTGTTGCTTTCACACATCGCGCTTTTGACAAATATTGTTTTCAATTTGGAATTCCAGGAGAAAGAAGATAAAGTTCAAGCTTTGCTTGCTCGAGCAGATGCCCTCGGATCAGAGAAAGAGAATCCTAATGAGGCTATCGTCTACGATGCGATGGCTCTGAACCTACATCAAGTACATCCTCCTCTTCTGTAGTCATTTCAATACACAACATCATTAAGGCTTGGAAAGAACTGAACAAGCAGTTGATGCTAAGAGGATACTTATTAAATGAAACTCTCAAATTCTACAGAATGGCTAGACATCATGAACAGGTATACTCAGTCATATCATATACTGTTATTAATATTATACAGCTGACAATGTCGGTTTCGGACGTTTTACGTCGTGCTGCAGCCGATAATGATTCAAATGATATTGTTAAACGAATTGAACAAATCGCTGATGGTTTGTACTTTCATCGCTTCTACCCAACCACACTCTCATTTTTAGAAATAATTGATACAACAGCGTCAGCAGTAGACTTAGGTTCATCAGTTATAGCTCAAATTAGAGCTTTAGGACAAATCGACGATAATGAGGGTAGAGCCCAAGAAATTTTAGCTGCATGTGTTTGCATAGAAAATGTTATGCTCAGGTAAACGATTATGAGAATTCAGTTCAGAATTATCCATATTTGCAGAATTGCAACAGAATGGGAAAGAGTTGAACAGACTTGGGCTGCCGAAAAAGAAAAGCTCGGGCTGAACACTTTAGATATTGAAGGAACTCTAGTACAGGTTTCTTTTATTTCTTTGTACGTGTATCGTAACGTTCAATTTGCAGATTGAAGAATGGCTTAAGCTTGCGGAAAAGAAAATAAAAGCTTTGAATGAAGGCGGACAGAAACGGTTGTTAGAAGAGGGAAACGTACGAATTAGTTCTTTGAAATTTTTTAAAAAGTGCTTCAGAGTCATGTAGCTAAGCTTCATGAGATTGCTTCGACAGGGGTCGCCGATGGAACAAGAGTTTCTCATTTGAGAGGTCGCATCGAAGAGTTCCTGCATTACTTGAAAACTCGAATGAACCGTTCACATCGTATCCAAGCATTCTTCCAAGCTTCACAATCAGTAAGTCAAATTTATCTGATATCTTCAAGAATCTAAACTTCAGATGTTATCACAACTCTCAATGATGGAAGCGGACCTGTTGAAAGCGAATGCTGCAATGGCGGGTGAATTGGTACCATTAGCAAAGCAAAAAGCATCTTCTGTTATTCATGAAGGAAAGGAGATCTTAGGTTTGATATACTGACTTTTTGCGTTCAAAATGTGTCGATTTCAGCAAGAGAAGTGTTAAGTTATGATGAACAACGAATTGTAAAGCAACGATGCGGTGAAATGGAAGCAAAGCTGTTAAATCTAGAAAACATCGCTAAACAAAGCAAAGAAGTGAAAGAAACAATATCTAAAGAGGTCACAATCCTATTTATGAAGTTGGCTCATCTGAAATTTTAGGTTGAGCAATTAAAAACGTGGATGTTCACAAAGGCTGAGCCTTTCCTTGCTCAAAATGCGGATATGGGCTCAAGCTTGAACGACGCAAGAGAGTTTGTATCTAAACACAAAGAGTTCGCATCCGAAGTTGTGGTAATATTTTCTGATATAATATTTTGACTCTCTGATATTTTTAAGAATCAAGATGCGAACGTACTCGCAGCCCTCTCCAAGAAGAGTGATTTGGGTCAGTCTTCCAAAGAAGCTCTTCAGGAGTTTGAACAACAATATGAAAAGCTGAAAGACATTTTAGAGAACCGTATTCAAATTGGTAGCCAGTTTGAACAAGTAATCAATCTTTTCTCGCTTATCGTTCCAACTAATTTTAAATTTAAAGGTACACAAGTTTGCTAAAGATTTGGAATCAAGTTTCGATGCTCTAACTTCACTTCTTGACACCAACCGAGATTTCACGAATGAAAAAGTTGCTGGACAAATGACCAATGTTTTCCAAATGATCCAGGAAACACTTGGACAGGAAAAAACTCAAGGAGAGAAATTTGTTGTAGCGGCTGAACAAACTGGTCGGAATGATGAGCAATTAACAGTGCAGCGAGCTTCTGAATCTGTTCGTAACATCATAACAGATCATGAACATCGGTTTACTTATGTTACCAGTAAATGGCTCGAATGGCAACAAGCCAAGGTATGATATTTTGGATTGAGTACCATGAAAACAAAAATGAATTACAGAGCGAGTTGAAACGTCTTGAGAAAATTGTAGAAGAAGTGGAAATGTGGCAAGAAGACGCTATTGAGGTCATAAAAGTCCTACAACAGCCGGCGGGATCTGTTTCAACCCAGGTTATTACAGTCTCGAAGATAAACTCAAACTATGAATATTTTCAGGAAGCTGAAGCTTATGCCACAAGGTTTGAAAAAATAAGACAGAGCGTTGATGTTCAAAACCAAAAGATCCATGAAGCAATGCGATATACACATAGTATGAATCTAAAAAGTTATTCTCTCAAATTTGAAAACCTTCCAGATGAGCAATTCGTCAAGCGTGTTTCTGAAGTTTCTGAGAGGCAACAACAAATCGAAGGAATGCTTTTCGAGATTAAAAAGGTTTCTTATTTAACTTTTCTTGTTACAAACCATAATTGACAGATGGAAGTCCAACAGTTAGTGCGAATCATTGAAGAAGTAGAAATGTGGCAAGATGATGCAGTAGAAGTTCTGAGAAAACATCATCAAACTCATCAGAACCAACGCCAAGCTCTTGAAGTTCGTTTGAAAGAGGTGAAACAATCAGCTCCTGCTCAAATGCATAGCTTACAAAGAGTCAGAAATCAGAACACAGGTAACGAATGTGTCTCAAATCTTAATATTAGTGAGTTAAAGATGAAATGATCAACCGACGCTTAGATGTAATGACTGAAAGACAAAAGCAAATCCAAGGAATGATTGAAGATATTGAATTGGTAACGATTATCTGGAACAGTTCGTACTTTCAACTATATTTATTGTAGATTGAATTGCAAGAACTGCGTAAAACTATTGAAGAAGTTGAAATGTGGCAAGAAGATGCCTTGGAAATCATCCGTTCTGCTAGTCAACAAACTGTGCAAAACAGAGAAGTACGTACAGTCCCTCCTAGCCATTGTAACATGAAGCGTTATAGATAGTCAAAGAGAAACTTGATCGCGTAGTAGTACAACTGCCTCAGCAAGCAGAGAAGGTTTCTTATCTCAAAAGACACACTGATAGTTAGTTGAATATCAATATTTTTCATACAAAGCATGTTCAGAGGCTGAAGTGGCTGAAAAAATTTACAAGGTTGCCAGGAATCACGATCAAATCAAGCTCACTGTGGATGATGCTCGTAAAGTCAGTTTTAATTCATCAGAACTGTTCAATTTTTTTTTTGGTGAAAAAAAGCCCTGACATTCACTCTCATAGACATAGCACTCCAACTACCGTTTAGAACGGTTGCATTCAGTCTTTCTCCGGAACGCTTTAATTGAACAATGTTCTAGGCTATTGATAAGAAATTTGTTAAAATTGTGGAAGAAATCGAGATGTGGCAAGAAGAAGTCATCGAGATTATTCGTACACTCCTGAACACAACTGTGCAGTCAAGACGAGTTAGTGGAACTTCTCGGAAAGTTTATTTTAACAATATTTTACAGGAAAATGAAATGATCCAAGAACGGTTGAATGAAATCAAAAGAAAACTACCTGACAATGTTGATAAAATAAACGAAATAAAAACAACTACTAGTATGTTTCAACACAGTTTTCTGTTATCAATCACTGCCTTTCTTAGCAACTGAAGAAGCTGGAAGAGTTCAGAGAGCTCTACAAAAACAAGAAGAGATCACGAAAGCTATTGATCAACTAGAGAGAAAGGTACCCTTGATTTTATAACTCCAAATCATCTACTTCTTATTTCTAGATTCAAACTGTAGATGAAGATTTCTTACAACAAGAAGCCCGCCTACGCGTGAAGGCTCCGGAAATTATAACTAATCTCATCGATTCCCAGGTAATATATGATTTAAATATACATTTTCTAACTACTGATAATAGGTGGATGAGGGATCTCGCTATGAATTTACAGCGCGTATCTCGGGCGAACCAGAGCCTACAATAAGGTGAATTATACTTCTGAGCTGTTCGATGTTGTAATTCATTCAAATCTCATCAAATGAACAGATGTTTTATGCTCCAAAACGTTTATTTCTTTTTAGTTGGTTGAAAGACGGCATTGATGTCAAAAACACTATGGATTACCGCCAGGACTATGTTAATGGAATCGCTACATTGACTATTGAGGTAAATAGCTCGTCCAAACTCTTGAAATACTCATAATTCTATTCTTTAGGAGACATTCATAGAAGATACTGCCACATATACGGTCAGAGCCTCCAATGCAGGTGGAACTGTAGAGTCGAATGGTCGCCTCATTGTTAAATGTAAAAAAAAGAGTTTTAGCCTTGCTTACGTACCCATTCTTTAGCACGATCAGCTCTCGATTCAATTTTCGAGGAAGAAAAGCCCCATGTTGTCAAACAACTACGCAACACAGTGATTAATGAAGGTGAAACAGCTCACATGGATTGTGTGATTGTCGGCCATCCTGAGCCAGAAGTTGTATGTTTGGTTATGTATCATTGTTCCTCAACATTACTGTTCAGGTTTGGTACAAAGAAGAGAAAACGTTAACAGAAAATGAAAGAACTCGGCTTGATTTTGCGGGTGATCACTGTTCCGTAACTATTCAGAGCTCAATTCCCTCTGACTCCGGCTTATACACAGCTAAAGCTAAGAATATCCACGGAGAAACAACTAGCTTCTGTCAGCTTAAAGTAAGATCATTGGGCTGCCATCCAACAAAAATTGTTTTCTAGGTTGCTCCTAAAAAACAACCTCCACCTACACCGCCAAAACCTACTTCCCGGCCAAGTTCAGTTATGGCAAGACCTCCTTCGATCCAACCCGCTCTGACAAATTCGACGTGGTCTGAAGGGCAGACTGCCTCTTTACAAGTAGAGAATATATTCAGTTACGATCAAATATGTTTTCTCACAGGTTTTGATACAAGGAGAGCCACGTCCGGCTGTCCAGTGGTTGTTTAACGATCAGCCCATCCAGCAAACCTCACAAGTTCATATTGAAGAAAAAGTATCTATTATTTGTCTTGTGTTTTTTTAAAAATTTTTTTTCTAGTCTGATGGTTGGTCTCGTTTGATCATCAGTCCTGTACAAGCTCATCATGCTGGATTATATACAGTCGTTGCTGATAATGAAGCTGGTGAAGCAAGAACTGGAGCTTCCCTCCATGTTTCTCAGTCTATCACTACTGAACACATGTACCAACAGGTGAGATACAACGTTTTTCATACTCATTTCATTCAATTCAGGATATGTATGAGAAAATCAACATGGAGCCAGTGGCAACAACAGTTCAGACAAGAAATGCTTCGAGTCTTGAGGTGAGACATCCGATAAAATATGAAATTCTCAATTGTGTCCATACAGGTGAATGATAGAAGTTATCATGAGCATGTCAATCATGAGCTTTCTCCTATACCTAACGAAAAGCGCTGGGTTGAGGTAAACAGCAAATTCACTAACACGTATAGTAACCACTTCTTTAGATCATTGAAGAAGAGATGCGTCAAGCTTCTCAGGTTGTCTCTCCAGTCCCTCAAGTGGAAGAAAATAGAAAACGAGTTATTACCGAGCAGCGTTGGGTTGATGTAAGTTATTTTTTTCTACACTGGCTACAGCATGATTCATACAGGAAATTGATGAAGTACTGCAAATACCCAAAAATCAAGCAGTTACTACTAAGGTTCATACCGAGTACGGGCATAAGATCAATGAAGCTCCACAGCCTGAAATTAGACATTCGACTACAACACCTTCAAACAAAATGTTCAACGTGGCTGTAAGCGTCATGTTCTCAACTATCATATAAAACAAATTCTCAGACCATACGGCAATCCCCTCAGCCAGAAATTCACAAGGCTACAACATCAAGTACAACGACTGAACATGTGGCGGTGAGTTCTAGCAAAGTTATATTGGATAAAATGTGGGATTAAGACTATCAGACAAGGTGTTCACCCTGAAAGCTATCAGGCTACCATTAAACCAGCCACGTCGATTGAAAATATCGCAGTAACACATCAGAATCCTCAGAAAGAAGTATTCAGGGCTACCACTACTCCAACGAGCGCATTGGAGAACGTTGCGGTGAATATTATTCCACTGCTTCTTTATCACTATTTTTCTTCTTCAGCAAGTTCATGCTCCCATTACAGTTCAGAAACAAGACATTATGAAAGAAGGTCCACGAATAAACAGAGTTGACGTGAGTTGTGCTAATATTAGGTATAATGGTATCATTATTAAGGACGTTGTCTTACAAGCTCCAGAACCATCTGCTCCTCATACTTCAGTACATGTCACAGAACAGAGCTACATAACTGTAAGAATCATTCAGTTCTTATTTCTGACAAAAAAGTTCTTCAGAGATCAAATCAACAAGCTCCTCAGCCAGCTGTCAGAACAACTACTACAACAACAATCTCAGAACAAAACGTTGCGAAGAGGGTATGAAGTTTGAAAATCCAGTTGATCAGTCTTTTTTTCATTTGAAGAGCTTGGATAGGACGGACAGCCAGGATGTTATCACACAGATTCAAAGAACTTCAGAAGAAATCGACAATACGAAACGTACGATAAATCAGGTATGTTGCATTTGGCGAATGAAATTTTGACCATCAAGTATTCAGATTCCTGAATCTCCTAGACCTCAGAGAAAGTTCCCACAACCACTTACTACTGTGAAAACCAGTGGAGAAGGTTGGGTGCAAGAAGTCCATGATGAGGCAGGAAAGCCAATCGTTAAGACAGTCAGAACTTATATTGATGAAGAGTCGGAAAACGTAAGCGGAAAGGTAAGATAATAATGAAAACGTGTTTTGTAATTTGTTCATTAAGAAAATGATGATGGTACCAGGTTCTGAGAAAACTATCACGATTGTTAGAACAGCTGAAGACGAGGCAAGAAGTCAGCAAAAGTCTCAAATTCCAAAACTCCATCCTCAAACAACGACAACAGTCAGTCATTCCGGAGAAGGCTGGGTTCAAGAAGTGTATGACCAGGCTGGAAAGCCAACAGTGAAAACTGTAAGAAGATATACTGATGAAGAATCAGATAATATCTCTGGCAAGGTGTAGTATTCTTCAATACCTTTTCTTACCTATAACTTTTAGAAAATCATGTCTGTGCCAGCCTCTGAGAAAACAATAACGATCGTTAGGCAAAACGAAAACGAAGAAAGTAGACTTGCCCAAAAGTCTCAAATTCCTAAAGCGCAACCTCAAACTTCGACGACTGTAACAGAGTCTGGAGAAGGTTGGGTTCAGGAAGTACACGACGAAGCTGGAAAACCTCGCTCCACGACCGTACGGGTATACAGAGATGATGAGAGCCAGGATGTCCAAATGCGTCAACATTCGAAAATCCCTGTCAGACGAGAACCACAAACGACAACCACCACATCCGGAGAAGGATGGGTTCAAGAAACTCATCAACAATTCAACAAACCTTCATCTACTACCACTCGAACTTATAACGACGTCACGACAGCAGATAGAAAACAAAAAAATATACAAATTCAGCATGTGGAATCTGATTATCATCGTGTTGCCGATGATGCAACATCGGAAATATCTAAGGGCCACAGAGATAGTTATATTCTGGTTTGTTGTCGTTTCTATCTCTTTTCATTTTTTTTATCTTGAAGGCTTCCGATGCCGAAGGCTTTTGGACAGATGGAGCCTACACCGGATCACCCACTCCCCCTCCTATGTCCAGGTTCACCACACAGCAAGATTTTAAACAGGACATCGGTATGCCATCAGTCAGAATACTTTTGAGAAAAAAAATTTATAGGAACTTCACAAGTTTCCTCGGAGCCTGAATTTGTGAGACCCTTCCAGAAAGATTACACAGTTGAAGAAGGTGGTTCAATAACTATTGAATGCATGCTCGTTGGAAATCCTAAACCTAAAGTTACTGTTTACTTCAACAATCAAACTGTACGAACTAACGAGTTCCTCGAGGTAGTATATCATACTAGTAACATGATCATTCTTGTTTCTTTAGATCACTTCCTCTTCTGACACCTACGTGATTTCAATAAAGAATGCTCGTTTAGATCAAGCAGGTTATTACAAGATAGTGGCTGAGGTACTTACATGCATTTTTTTCTGTACTTAACCGCCATATTTCGCAGAATAAGAAGGGATTCACAGAAACTTTGACAGTTTTACATGTACGGCCAAGAAGCTTACCGAAACCTGTTGTTACACATAAAGTTTCAAAGCCTTCAGAACACACAACAGTAAGGCAACACTCGAAATCATCATCTTAATTATACTTCCCAGGTGACTGAGGAGTTTGCTATGTTTGAATATGAGCAACGTCGACCAACAAAACACGAAATGCAGAAAATATCTGAAAAAACACCACCCCCAGCTAAGAAGCTCCAACAAGTTCACAAACGCGACGAAGTAAGTTCTCATTATATATCGGAAAGTACGTACCTGTCATTCCACAGGAACATCTGGAACAATATGATATTGATGAACGCAAAGTCGCTGGACATCCTCCACATTTCACTCAAACATTAGTTTCGACAGTAGCAAGTGACGGAGAGGGAGCTCGTTTTGAAGGCGTAGTGACAGGTAAATCATCGTTTTTTTTCTAGGTTGATGAACATGTTTAAGGTTGGCCAGCTCCAAGTATTCAATGGACTAAGGATGGCGCCCCACTCTCTACTGAGTCTCTACCCGGAATTAGTATAAGTAACATTGGAGGAAGATTGTCTCTGGTTTTCGATGTGAGTTTTTGTGCGATCACATTTATTAACATTTGAAATGCAGAAGTGTACATCGGTTCATTCTGGAAAATATATGTGTACTGCCACAAACGTCAGTGGAGTTGCAACAAGCAGTGCTCAGCTAGTTGTTCGACGTAAGTTCATGGTTGACTCACTCTTTTACTTTTCAACGACTTTTAGCGAAGACTATTGCTCCCGATTTCATTCAAAGGTTAATAAGTGAAGAAGTTGTGGAAGGTCAGCAACTTAAATGGACTGTTCGAGTGACCGGTGACCCCAAGCCTAAGGTTTCTTTTAAAGTTTTATAGCTACTGAAAATGCGTTACCTTACAGATAATTTGGATGAGGGATGGAGTCGAAATTCCAAATTGTGATGAAGTTCGATTAGTTGATGTGAGTGTTGTGTTTCAATAACATCTCTCATGGTTTTTTTCCAGGAAGGTAATGGCTTCCATTCTTTGGTCATCGTTAGAGCTGAAGTAGCCGATAGCGGACAATTCACCTGCCTGGCTGAAAATTTCGTCGGAGAAGCCCGCAGCACAGCAGATTTAGTTGTACGACCTGCAGGAGCACCTCCAGGGAATTATTTCCACGTCACCAAAGTAACTCAAGAACGACAGGTATGTTACTGAACGAAAAAGCTTGTACAATACTCATTTGCAGGTTAAAGGAGAAGAACCAGTAAGGAACAGCTCTTTCACAATAGAAAATCCTCGTCCGAGTGCTATGCTCTAACTTCACAGCTCAGATGGCCGAACCCTTATTCCTGAGGCTTTCCTAGTTCAAAGCGATCCTCAACCTGTTTATTGTCTCGAATCTGGTCAATTATGCAAGCATAGTGTTATAACAATAATTAATGTTGGATTATAATCCTCGTAAACCGAAGAACGTTTGTTGATCGTAAAGATCAAAAGAATCATTATTCAGTTTTAAATATTTTTACTTCACAAAATAAATTTTTATTCAAATATCACAGTTGAATACACGTCAAAAGGGAATGAACCAAGAAATCATTTTCCAAGTCATAAACGTGAGTATCGGTTGCACACGCGCAAAGTATGAGCATTTGCGCTGGAAAACAGAAGCTCAGGTGTTTCGATTGAAATTAAGGTTGGATAGAAGATCCTGGTTGGAATGTGTGATTGTGAGATAGTGAGATGCATGACGTTTACAAACTACGAGTCCGCCGGTTCAAAAATCTGTATTTCATGTTGAAAAACTTCAAACATTCTAATTCTGATCGGAAAGGAAAGAATTCCTCCTCGCAGCTCACAGTTGGATTGAATCTGTAATGCTTGCTTTACACATGGATTAATATAAATTTGGAATGCCTTGTAGGAAAACCGTTGGAGAGACGTGATTTATGATGGTGGGCCTTAAAAACAATCCTTTTGTTGCTTTCAGCAAGAGTTTCGTCATACTACCTGTGAGTTTGAAAGATTTTCTGTTCGAATAACTGGTGAAACTCCGTCATCATCATTGATTGATAGTGGAAGAGGGGTTCGATTCAATTTGTGACCAATTGTTATCCTGTAAGATTTTTAAATGGATCATAAAATTTATGATGCATACTTAGGTTGAGATTGCAAACCCCGTTGGTACTGGAGTCGAGAATATGGAACTTCTGTGGTAGCGTCGAATAGAGGTGCTACAAATGATGATTCTTCGGTGATTCACAACTCATTTGGCTTACGTTTCTTGACTGGTTTCGGGCGCACATTAGAGAAGCAGTTGAAGTATTCGACACAGTCGCCTTCTGCACTTCTTCGAAAGTTTGGCGGACAACCACAACCCTCTTGGCACTCCTTTACGGGACATAGCTGAAATAAATCTTTATGACCGGGATTTGATCATGTACAACTTTCAAGTCTTGGCCGCAGAGCAGGTCACAAGGTTTGCATCTATAGAAGACCTCTGTGAATCCACAAGCTTCGGATTTCTGCCAGACACCTCCCATTTCCTGTTGAACGTCTTCCGGTTCTTCATAATTTCAAGTTTAAGAAGTTCTCTGTTTAAAAAAAAACCAACCATAATTCGCTCTTATTGCAGTAACAAACAGTGAGAAGATGATTGACTTCAGCATGGCTGGCGGAATACTTTCAGTGTACAGCTTATAACTTATAACTTTCCGAATTTATATAGAAGAGCGCTCCCAAAGATGTAGGTTAATAACACACTCTAATCATATTGGGAAATCGGTTGATTTGTTTATTTTTCTCTGAAATTTCGACCACTGCCTTCGATTTTCATTAAAATTTTCAGTCCAATTGAGGTTGATGAATTGAGTTCATTAGCCACTGCATAATCCCATTAATGTTGTCAATTTTGCAAAGCAAATCCTCTTTAGACAGATTCCACATTAAAAACTCCAAAGTTTTACTGAAGTTTTTAAATTTCTGAATTCGAACGACCAAATTAATTTTTCGAAATTGAAAAAGTAGCAGAAGTTGCAATTCATTTTTAGTGCAAAATCGCGGGAGACAGGTCGGTCACGGAAGTAAAACTCAATTCTTAAAAATTCAGACCCTTCAGTAGATGCGGCCGGCAAAAACCAGAGCTGAAAAGACTCAGCAAGTGTCTGACTCTACGGATCGAACCGTTTTACCTAATGTTATTTTGGTGCAAGATGTACTTCCTGAATTTCTATCTGAAGCAATTCAATTCGTTACAGAAATTACCAGGAGCGCTTGAAATTCGTACGCAACCGGAAATGTACTATTACAAATTAATGAAAGAAGAGCGTCCAGATCTGATTATTGATCCGTCTGTAGTCACTGTTAGTTTGATCTTGTATTGCACTTGCCCTTCTCTCTTGCTCTATACCTCCGCGTAAAGAAGTTATAGCAAATTTTACAGAAAGAAGACATAGAACTCCTATGTCGTTATAATGGAGATCGTACGGAATTACAAGAGAATGACATCATCTATGCTGATAACGAGTGAGTGTTCCGATCTTTTGTACTTTCGAATAACAGTCTGTGATCAGTCATGACCCTGAAGACAAGGTTTATACACGCTATGAAATTCTTCTGCAATATAATGAAGGAAGATATTCCGGAGTGTACTTAGTGCAGAAAAGATCGAACACCAAGTGAGTATAACCAAAAGTTGTCGGATGAAGCTGTTTTTTAAGAGGAAAAAGCAAAAATCTTTATATGTTGAAGCTTGGATTAAGACGAAATGGCCAAAAACAAAAGATTTCCCTCTTGGTTTAGTGTTTTCTTTCTACAAATAAAAATATACGCTCTATGATTTAAGAGGGAAATTAAAGTTCTGAAAGAGCTTTCTCATGCAGCCAAGTCAGACAACAGCAATTTCCCCGTACTCGTTGACACAGGCAAAGTGTGTGATATGGAGTTCATAGGTTCTTTCGCTGATGACGACCTTTCGTCAAACCCTTCAGAGCTTTGTCTTTAGTGTTGACGCTGTTTGATATGAATTTGGATAAACTAAGGGAATCCATAGGTGGCTCATATTCCCCTGCATCAGCTCTTTTCCTCGGCTATCAATGTCTTACATGCATCATGGTTAGTCACATTCTCCTTTTTTCCAAAATAGAAATTCTGCAAGGAATTGCATTCGAAAGGATTCATTCATCGCGATATCAAACCCTCCAACTTCTGCATAGGACTGCAGCCCAATAATAGAAAAGTTTGTTTGTCGGACAGTGAATTTAACATATCCTCATTTCAGGTGTTCATGATTGATTTTGGAGAAGCTGTCCCTTCTGGTAAGAATATTCGGTAACCTTGTTATCTTGGACTTCTCGATTCATCTTATTACAGTGCTGGAACTCCGGATTACCTGACATTGCCCTATTATAGTCTTGGCTGCCATAAAAACAAGGCGACAACAGAACACTTTGACTACGAGAGCTGGTTTTACATGTTATTGGATTTGTTTGTGATGATTACTGACCATATTAGGAGAGAGAATAATTTCAGTTTAAAAGCGAAACCGATGGATTGGAAGAATTTGACAAATGAGGAGCAAGTTGTGCATCGAAAAGAAAAGTTCTGGAATGGTATGTAGGAAGAGACGTAGAGAGGCAGAAGTGAATGCGGAAGAGAGAATCGAAGTGATGAGAGAGAAGAAGAGAGATGAAAGAGCGTTTTGCAGACATTGAAGCAAAGTCAAGTGAACGTTTTCTGATGACAATAGGTAAACATATCATTAAATGCCAAAGAAAGTACTCCAAAGACGACGTAATGAAAATGAAAGACGTCTTGTATCAGAAATTCAAATCAATTGCTGGGTGCGTGAATGGCCTTCCATGGAGAAATCATTGTAATTGTTTTTTTTTTGCAGAAAACAATATTCACCTGAATGGATATCTTCGGTAAATACTTCATCTGTTTATATGAAGAGATAAATCCACTGAGAAATCGTTTTTGTATTTCCTTTTTCTCTCCGCTGTGTGTATGAGAGAAGGCCTTCTCTCGCAACAAAATTTTTCTCAAAACTTCTCAGCTTTGAGAATATCTACGACATTTTTCTGATACAAACAACAACTTCGTCCAGCTCTCAGGTATTTTTATTCAGTTTTGTTGAGAAATTTGATAGCCATGCCTGGTTATTGTGATTCATGGCTACTGCTCGCTCTTCTCAGATTAGTCATTGAGCTCATCTGCATATCCCATGATGAATGCCTTAAAAGGTAGTTTTCAGAACGCTCCATCGTATATGATTGCGTTTCTGTTTTTTTCCAGCTACTTCAGTAGTTGTTTGTTTATATTTAAAGCAGATGAGTGAGGATGAAGGAAAAGAGTATAGAGAGAATAGAAGAGAAGTGAAAGAGAAGGACTGAATTGTCAGGTCAACGAGTATGAAGTGCCGAAAGATGAGATCAACTTCGATCATCTGAGACTTTCCGGCATGAACTTTTCTCTTCAGACCTCTCAACAGCATTGAAATGACTTTTGTAACAAACGGTCTCTTTCTATCACACCACTCATTTGGTATAATGGGATGAAAAGGAAAGAATCGCAATTTTCCTTCTCATCTATTTTGCACATCATTAGTACCAATTTTGGTGGTGAAATTTGATATTTATGAGATAAAACTAATTAAAGTCAAATTGATTTGCATCTCGCCGAAAACATATTCTTTTCCATTTTCCTTAAGTTGTATCCTGCTTCTGCTCCCGTATATGGCCTACCAATCACAAGCAATTTCGTCAAATTTGTGAAATTTCACGAATTTGCCTACAAGTGCACTCGCAGTTTCCTCATTTTTTCATTTCCAATTAGGAAGTGTGGCCTACTGCCCCACAACCATATGCCTTTATAAGACTAATTTTGTGCGATGAGTTTCAGGACGGAATGTTTCTCAATGTTTTCAGCTGTGAGGAATGCGAAACACCTTCTGTCCTCTTGCGTTCTTGTGTACTTCCTACTCATTGTTACCCTTGAGTCTTATATCACCTTGTAAATTATTTTTTTGCTCAATTTCTGATCCTTTCGTTTTTCTTTTTTTCAAAATGACGCCTACGCCCGTCAAACCTGAACACATGCTACCTGCGTCTGAGGCTCATAGATATCACCAGTTATTTTGCGTTTTTTGTCTCCTTTGCCTACCTCTGCCTTTCCTTAGAATTATTTTCACTGTTTGTTTGCTCTACCGTACAGACAGACTGTACATCTATTATGTCTCGAAGTCTTAAATGGCACATGGAGACTAGGTACATGCAGCAAGTGCCCGCCAAATACTATCGTCGCCAAATATTTCTTTAAAATATTCATAGTTATGGATATTGGCGAAGTTATTCAACCAAAAATAAGTTTATAAATAATGTATCGCAAATGAAGCAATTACAAGTCATCTTTTTCGTCCTTTGTGTGTGCCTCTTCTATCCTTCTTCCTTATCCACCCCGTTTGCTTCATCTCTGTCTTCCTCTCCTCTTCTCTCTTTCTAGTACGAGTAGAGCTATATATACATCTGGTCATCGTTATACTATAGATTCTCGTCAATTTATCTTCTATCTCAACTACCAATTTCAATTTTATTCTCCGAATATCCTCCTGGCTTGTTCGTCTTCGGTTTCACCTAACGAAGACGAGAGCAACTTTCTTCCTCAAAAAAAACTCTTGTTTCTCCTCCTTTTTTTTCTTTTTCGATGCTTTCATCTTGTTTTTTACAAATGGAAGTTGTGAAGAAGAAGTGTTTCACTCGGAGATCCCTCTGAAAGCAGTGTTTTTCTAGACGAATACTCTTTGGAAATCCTTTCCTGTTCTCACACATCTCCTTCCTCACCCTTCCCTCAACACCGCTGTTTCCTAGACTCTTGCTGAAACAACTTTGAAAAAGTCATTTTCCACCTTTCACTCACTCAAAGCTTTGTCCAAGTCTTCTGCTGAAGAACTGTCAAGAAGGCAGATGCAACGACAAACCATTTTGATTTTCTCCCTCCCTATAATTCTTCCTTCCTCACTCTCCTTGATAATATCTTAGTGATCAACTACATCTGCCCTTCTCTCTGAACTCTATTGCCTGTGCGTTGACTTCTCTCCATCTCTTAGTTTCTCTCAGAGCCTTCTTTGATCCATATTCGTATAAAAGCTCTTTCAGCTGTCCTCATATGGTCATCTTCGTCACCCTTCTGTCACCATCTTCAAATGAATAACCTTGTCACCGTCGGCCTTGTCATGTATCCGACTAAATAACGAAATAATATCAAATATGCCTTAGGCTAGTAACACTCATTTCTGCTTGGACACGCGCCCGCCTCATTTAGTCTAGGTTGATTTGAATGAATTCTTTAGATGTCTGCAGAGCAAATCGCTTCTCTCTACTTTGCCACCTCACTCTCACTCAGCTTTTCTGTCAAGAAGTCGTCTAAGTCCTAGTCTATCCGTGAGAAATTCCTTAAATGCTCTTCACCAATTTCTTAGACATAATGACCATTTGAGGATTCCATAGAATTCTTTGTTTACAATTACTATCTTCATTTTGCTATTCATGAGATGGAGTGTCCAAGTTTTCTTACGAATCCCCTTCGATTAGTTAGTTTTTTCTTTCAAACCGTTGACGGACTACTTCTCTCTTCCGTTGTCGTCGACATGCACTTAGTAGGCGCTAAGGTTGTTTCTGTCATTTACATATATACACATATATTAGAAACATTTCCTCGAATTAAAAAAGCAATCTGTCTCCGTAGCGACTTCGTTCCACAAACATGGCAAAATCAAAGAGAATTTGCTGTCAACTTCCATCGCTAAGTCTCAAGGGACTAAGCTTACAAAGCTCTTTATGGAAGGATAAATTTCGGTCATCTTTTCCAGTCTTTTCGTAAACTAGGAATAGATTTGATTTTTTGTTCAATGAATGCGGTTTCTCGTTCTAAATGTATAGATAATATATTTTCCTCCTTGTACCCACCAGTCTGCGTACACTCCCCTTTTGGTCTTCGGCAACGTTTTTATACGTCAGTACTTAGAAAACTTAAAAAAAAACCTGACGAGAGAAACGTGGATAGATATATGAAAACAGATAAGATTTTAAAAAAAAGGAGCCAATTTCAGGAGAGAGAGTGGAGTAGAAGGAGAGCCAACGTTGCGAAGTCGTGGATGAGAGAAAGAGCCATGCGCTAATTGTTTTATCTTTCGATTTTAAGTCTTCATGTCCTAAATAATACTTAACCCCGTTGTTATGAGAGATAAAGGTTCCTCTTTCACTTTATATACTATTTGAAACAAGATTTTCGAACGAAATTTTCGGTTTTTGTTCGCCTAATGAGTTCATGGATCGGAGTTTATGCCCGTTTCTCGATGATATATAAGCACAGAGTGATCTCAGTCAATGGTCATCTCTGTTGTCTTCTCCCAAGTCAAATATTGTAAAGAAGAGAATTCTCGAGAAGACCTTTTGTAGCTATTGTAGGGCCCTTCCTGCTTTTTTGTTTCTCCGTCTTACAATTAATGTGCGTTCAGTCTCTCTGTCTTTCGCTCTGTCTTCCTCCCTACTAAAGAGGTCATTCTACTCAGTTTCATTCATATACATCTTCTTCAAGTGTAGTCCATGTGATACATCACACACACACAAAAAAAAACTTTTTTTCTAAACTTAAATCTACTCTGAAACTTATTTGTATAATTTTAAAAGAACACATTAAGTCTTTGTCAGATCATATAGTGTGTGTTTACTAGGCTTTTTCTCTTTCATAGACACGGTTTCTGTCCATCGTCTCACCAGAATTTGACCGAACAATCAAGCTTTTTTGACCTTGGGACCTGTTAGTCATCGTTTAGTCAATTATTCGTCTAATTCATTACGCTACCTCGCTATGTTTCTTTTTCATCCCATTCAACAATCAGATGGGCTTTCTGTTACAAACTTTGAAACTGTTTTACTCGTCTTCTATCAGTTTTCTTGCGATATAAAACCCTCGACAAGCTAAACAATTTACTTATTACAGACATGGCTCGTTATATTATTCTTCTCGCCATCGTTGGTCTTTGCTTAGCTGCTGATGAAGACGTCAACGGCGTAAGTCCTTCACATCACATATCATAACATGAAACTTCTATCATTGCAGGCTAATGTTTGTGAGGAATACCTTCAATGTTTAGAAAAGGCTCAAACTCGTTTGAGTGAATGTGGAGCTGAAGCTGAGAAGGAGGTGAGCATTACTCAGCAATGTAGTTAATATATTATCACTCTCCAGAAAAAGGTTACTTGCGAAGATGTCAAAAAGCTTGGAGATGAACTCCACGGACTCCAAGAGCAAAAGGCTTCCGCCATCGCTACCTGTGTTAAGGACAAGGCTTCTACCGCTGAAGTTCTCACTGGACGTAAGGCCAAGAAATGCTCTGCTGCTCTTCTTAAGGTTTGATCTGCGACTATTGAACAATATTCTATAAAAACTATTCTAGCTGAAGAGAGCTCCAACTGATGCCAAGAGAGAGAAGAGACAAGGAAAGAAGAAGGAGAAGAAGAACTCTTGCGTTAAAGACGCCAAGAAATTCAAATCCCAATGCTCTAAGATCGCCAAATGCTGCAGTGCTGTGAAAGTGTATGTTAGATTGTCATTTTTTTAAAAAAAATCAAATCGGGGGGCTCAAAACTGACGACCGCTCAACTGTCTGCAACATACTAAGAATGAAGCGACCTGTTAGCTGTTGAATTGAAAATGCGACAAGTGTGAACTATGGACTAACCTTACACTTTACAGATGCAACACTGAGTACAACAGTGAAGACATCGTCTCTAAGAAGAGTGAATTGAAGGAAGCTTTCAAGGTCTGCAAAGAGAAGAACGGAGGAAATAAGAAGGTAGATAGTAGCATAAATCATGATCACAAAAGTATATTTGTAGCAAGGAAGAAGAGGAGGAAAGAAGGTTCAAAAGAGTGAATCTGGCAGCACCACCGCTCAACCAATCGCTTAAATGAACTTATACGGAGTTTCATATTTACCTTTCCTATTCGCTTATGCAAAAGGTCTGTGCACTGTATATAAGCCATCAGTTAACCATTAATAATTATTTCCTTTCAAGTTCTGCATCAATAAATGTTCTAAAAAGATAATGATTGTGTAAACATCAAGTCAAAGAACAGTTACACAAAGAATTCTTCCTTTGAACATCACACCATCTCAATGATTACGTACTTATGCTAGTAATTAACCAGCTCTGTTGATCTAATGAGATTTCGATCCTTCACTGCAATTCCTCAGAAGGCTGTTTCTCAGACCGCCTTCCGTTAATGACTGTGCTTCCTTCTTTTTTCCCGAAAATGATTGGAAAAGACCGCCATAATCTTGAACGATCTTACAATTTACAACGATTTACAACATCTGGGCGATCTACGAAGTATACAACAACTTCAATGACCCATACTTCAAGCTGCAATGAAGTCGAATTGTAATTACCAATTTCATTTGGCGATTGTTACTTATCAGCTCTTTCCGCTGAGTGCCAAAATGAAAAACTTATCAGACGAATCATTTACAATCAATGTCAACTCAGTATCCAAACTGCAAACATCATTTTTTTTAAAAGAAAAAGAAGAAGTCGATGCTTAAGTAGTAGTGACCTGTATTTGTAGACAGAAACCACCGGAATCGAAAACCTTGGACACAATGAATTCGGCCACATAAATCTTTTAGATCTTACGACAGTTAAAGCATGAAAACTAACAAGAGAATGATTTCGTGTGAGAAAAAAACTTTAATAAAGAGTCCATAGATTGAATAGCCTTTCGTCGCCAACACTTCACGTAATTTACGAAATCCTTTAAGACACATGATGCAGTATGAGTTTAGCTCGATAGATCTATGTAGACTATCGAACAATTCTTCATTCATATTATATTCGAAGATTCACAAAACTTGTTATCATCCAAACATCATGAAAGCGTCTGTTAAGCTTCATATAACGGCAAATGCATGATTACTTCAAAAGTTTGTTCTGTTCCTGACCGTTTTGAAACTGTTCGCGCTTTCAACATTGGCCCTTTGAGAAAACCTTGCCTCATTGATAATTCAAATTTTAAGCGGTATATGCTAATAATCATCACGTCCACAAGGACGCCGTTTCACTTCATTCTGTCCTTGATGACGGTCGGTTGTGTCCCATTTGGTGTGCTTTGTATACAGCCTGTATTTCTGCAAACTTACCCCCCATAAGGTTTTCTACGGTTTGACTTTATTGGTTTACTTCACGTTCTAAACTTACATCTATCACCAGGCTACTACTCTCCATTACAATAAGATTTAAACTCAATTTATTATTTTTGAAAGTGTTAAGTGAACAAACATCCCCGTCTAAACTTCATATCAGCAGTTGATTTCGCTACGTTAGTTACTTTTCATTTATTTTATCAGACATATCTGAGATTTTCTGTTTGCCCGAGCAATTGATTAGTGTTTTAGCCAATACAATTTCTAGATGAACATATAATGTGTGGACCACTGTTTATTGATTTGTTTGGAGTCACAGGGCCAAAGAAACGCTGACAGCTGGTGTTTTGCTGTTCAATCGTTTCTTTAAGCTATTAGATGCACCTCTTCATCTATTATAAGTGGGTCACATCTCTGTTTCGATATCGAAGCTTATACTTGCCTTGTTTTCTGCTCTTCTAGCGGTTGTTACTGCGACTGTTACACTTAGCACGTTAGAACTACGTAGCTGTAGCAAATAAGCAACAGCCAATTGTCCTAAAGCGCATTTAGATTCATAAAATCGAGAAAGACAGAAGAGAAAGAGAAGGTAGCTCTGTAGCCAAGCATTTGGCAATAGCTCTTGTCTCAGAGGCAGTCGTATTCTTGCCTATAGCTCTGTAGTGTTTTGGAATTTGTCCGATTCCGCGCAGATAGATTGTGTACCTTTTGCATAATAGCGGTGACTCTTTTTGATCATCTTCACGATTTAGCCTATTTGTTTCTTTATACTTTCATTCATAGCTGACTCAAGTTGCTTAGTCACAGATGATTTGAATTATCATGTAGCATCTCGAACTTTAACCATGAGCTTTAGGGTCTTTACACTTCGACATGTTATTGTTCCGCCCATTGTCTCCGTTCGAAATAAGCGTTCCTCTGGTTATTGTCATCATATTTTTTCCCTAATTGTTATGCTCTTGCCGGCAGGTAGTCGATAACGGTTTCTATTTACTGAGAGGGGTGTGCTAGACCTTTAGCTGCTTGGGCTAGTCCTCAACTGCTCCGCCTGTATCTATCATTAGCGGGGGTGTTGGTTAGAGTGAGGAGATAGGGAACCGAGGGGAGAACGATGTTAGTGGAACAGGATTTGCGAAATCCAGATGCTGCTGCCGAACTGCCAGAATTTTTGTCTTGTTACCTCTGTCTCGATTTTCGTCCTCTCTTTCTTTATGCTGTTTCATTTCTTTTGAGTGTAAAGTGAGGGGAGGATAGTCAAAGAGCGTATAGAACTACACGAGAGACAAGGCAGATAATCTGTAGACCGAGGGAAAAATATTGAGAAAGAGAGGGAGGGATAGTTCGGTGCCTGTTGTGATACGTTGTTCCCATCCATACCGCCCTCTTTTCTCCTCACCCATCGTCCATCCGTTTGACGATCGACCAACCAACGACTGACTGGCCAACCGCCATCCTCAATGATTCTTTTGTGTCATCGTTTCGTCTCTCAGTTGTCTTTTAACCTTCTTTTCTGCTGCCAGTACATAATACCACATATGTTGTTTGTCGTTCAGTTCATTATTTCCGGATATTGTTTCCTTTTCCTTCATTATTCCACGACTACTGAAAATGACACGTTCTCAACTTTCTGAGCTGCGTGCCCTCTTTGCTCCACCTTTCGTAATCTCAGCTCGCGCTTCTCTCATGACAACAAGGACCGGTTAAATCTAAGCCAGTCCCATAATGAACGATGATCGCATCGAATTGAAATATATTGAAATGACTGTTAGGATTTAATTAATCCTGGATAGTCTGCTCAATATTCATTCACGCGGATAGCGTGACCTAGAATACAATACCACACCTATTGGAATATGTACTTTTATTTCTCCAGTTCAAACTTATTCATTCGGTAAGATCGATTGGTACATATAAGAACCAAGATTCAAATTTGGCGCGCGTTCTTTTATAGAAAACGGCGTCATTTACCAATAGAAACTAGCTCTTTTTTCATTTTTTTTCCATGTTTCTAAATTTAGCTTCGCAGACCGCCTGCATGTCCAGCAGTGGTTTTGCAACATCATTCTTGTTTCTTGCGTTCTAGTCGGGAGTCCAGTTGCATTCCGTTGTGCATTTGTGCAAATGGTGCGGACACAATTAACAGCTCGTACGTTCCGTTCAAAAATAGAAAAGTTCACAAGATCCATAAATCCGTACTCTTCCCAAGAGGGAGACACAAGAATGATATAATTCAGAAAATAAGAACAGCATTGTGTTCTCTTGTTTCAGGGTCATTTGTAAACTTATTTTTCACTCGAGCGTTCTGGTTGACGGTCCTGTTGCTTTCCGCTGTGCATTTTCGTGGTTTCTTTTAAACGTTTTCACCTTATTGTTTCTTCGCAAATTGACACCCTCTGCCACGTTGCAACCTCGCTACTTTCCAAAAAGTAGTCTTGATTCCCACCTTAAGGATCAAAGTATGCATTTGCTTCGTGCGAAGAGTCGGAGCTATGATTCCTCAACAAAACAAAGTTCAGCATTCAAACTCTGAAAACAATTTCATGAAGAATCACCTACTTGCGACCACCCCATGTGAACGAGAGCGAGAAGAGACTATGTTGAAATGCCGTGCAATAGATTGTGGGAAAGAAATGGGAGTCAGATTCGAAGATGACTCAGAGAAACAAGACTATTGGCCAATATAACAGTGTAAATTAAATCTTTTCTGACCAAAAGAAGTATAAAGACTAGAAGATGTTAGAGTGGACTAAGATTAAAATAGAAATCTCCTATTACCGTAAGAAATTAACTGTTTCTAAGTTTTTAAAAATTGTACGCAACGTAACCATCGCGCGCGCAATATTGTGGGTGGAGTCCTACCCGGTACGCTTAAGTAAATAGCTGTGAGTTCACTCCTACCATCTCGTATATAATCTTCTCTCGATTATTATATCAAGCGTGTTTTATATATTTTTTTGTTTTCGTCATATAATTTATTTTTCCTATGTCTTGTTCTCTTACATTGTGTTCTGTGTGTTCGGTGACCCTAGCGTTCATGTATCACTTGGCCTCTTTTGAAGAAAGAGTGCTTGGCTGCTGACGTATCTTAATTTTCTTCACAATATATATTCAAAGTTGTTTCTTCTTCCGCTTACTACGTCTTTTCTTCGAATGTACATCAATCGATTTATGCATTCACCCTTGTTAAGTGGAGATTATGAAAGTGTTTGTTCTAAGGGGCCAACCTTCGTCGTCGCTACCAAAAGAGCTCAGTGTTTGCCTCGCTTACTCTTCTTAGTCTCACCTTCCTTCTACATTAGCAGTAGTCCTTACCTTATGATTATAAGGTTTCTCTTTCGAAATCATATGGTCGAATTAAGTTTTTGATGAATCATACATTTACGTCATCCGCCCACTAAGAGAAGAGCGGCTGTATATGAGTCAAGCCGAGAAGGACCCCAATCGATAAGTTTATATACTAGCTTTTTTTGGGGAAACTGATTTATAAATGAAAGAAAACTGATCTACAAAGGGTCCTAGAACGATTCCTCCCCCTTAACCATCTGAATCATTTGAAGGATCTTATGTCGTACCCGTTGTTGTTCCTTCTTTATGCTATGACGGGGAACTCGAAACAATTTTCGGCTCTGCTTCGATTATTTTCTTCTTCCAACTATTTAGTTTTCACTTTTTCTGTGATACATTCGTTTACATTGTTTCGTCCTTTCTTCTTCTTCTCGATTCATTTTTTTCTTTCTTCAGGTTTCCTTAAGCTTGCCTTTTGTGCTCATCTTCGCAAACAAATCCATACAACCATGGTGAGTTCGTTTCCTTTTTCATATAAATATATATATCAACTCACTCTGAACTTGTGATTTTCAATTAACAAAGAGTCTTATTGATAAGCATGTGTGTGTTGAATGTGTTTGCTGTGTTTAGTCTACTTCCGGAGTTATGGTCAATCCTGAAGTTCAAGCTACTTTCCAAAAGCTTAGCGAAGGCAAGAGAGAATACCGTTACATTCTCTTCAAGATCCAGGTTTCTCATCATAACTCACATTCAATACTTACTATGGCTTCAGGAGCGCGAAGTAGTCGTTGAGGCTGCTGTTTCTCAAGAAGAGCTTGGCCTTAGCGGCGGTGATGATTACGAAGATAACTCCAAGGCTGCTTTCGAGAAGTTTGTTGAAGATGTCAAGGTAACACTGACTCGCCCAAGAATCATCGTTCATGTAAATATTTTTTAGACTCGCACTGAGAACTACACTGATTGTCGTTATGCTGTCTTCGACTTCAAGTTCACTTGCTCTCGTGTAGGAGCTGGAACTTCCAAGATGGATAAGATCGTTTTCCTCCAAATGTTTGTTTGTCAAAATGTTAAATTGTTAAGCCTGTTTGATTTCAGCGTCCCTGATACTTCCACCATCAAGAAGAAGATGGTGTACGCTTCATCTGCTTCTGCCATTAAGGCTTCTCTCGGAACAGGAAAGATGCTCCAATTCCAAGTAAGTTCTTCTTGACATGATCACCCACTATGGATGATATTCAGGTTTCGGATGAATCTGAACTCTCTCATAAGGAATTGCTCAGCAAGCTTGTTGAGAAATACGCCGACAACTAAGTGCAATGTCCAAACGTGTTATTTCTTTACTATTTTATCTAATTTTTATGGCCCTTTTGGCTTCTATTACTGATCTGCCTGCGTTGTTGTGAGTAATAACCTTATCCTTATGCCGTGTTCCTTCTATCTAACACAGTTTGTTATTCACTAGTTAGGTTTCCAATGAACCGGTATCCTAGGCGAGCTTCATTACCGAAGTCGGTTAGGTGCATTTGGGTACGAATACAGCTTGTGCTGCTATCTTTGTATCCTTTTTAACCTTGGCGCTTTATTATTGCACGTCGTTCTTGAGTAAAGTTTTTACTTGTAATGGTAATGCAGATTTAATTAATTTAAATAATAAAACCATGTGCCGTACAACGTCTTCAATGTTTCTTCGTTACCAAATAGTTTCGGCTTTAGGCTTCTGGAGTCAAGATTGACGCTTCCTGCAAGACTGCTTATGATGCACTTCACAACAAACATCAACATAGCTTCATTATCTTCAAGGCATGATATCAATGATCTGATTGATGTAATGTTTAAGTTGTAGATTGGAAAGAATGATACCTGTATCGAAGTTGAAAAGGTCGGAGAGAAGGGAGGTTCCTATGGTGATTTTGTTGAAGAATTGAAAAAGATCGTAGAAGGAGGAAAAGAATGCAGGTGAGATGAGAGACAAGTTGGCATTTACAATAAGCCGTCTTAGATATGCTGCTGTTGATGTTGAAGTTCAAGTCCAAAGACAGGGAACTGAAGGTGGAAGCAAGTTGAGCAAAGTAATTTTCGTTCAATAGTAAGTGTTTTTGCTTTGTGGTATGATTGATATTTACTTCTTCAGTTGTCCCGATGATGCCCCAGTTCGTCGTCGTATGCTTTACGCTTCTTCCGTTGGAGCTCTCAAGGCAACTCTTGGTCTCCAATCCCTCATGCAGGTATAGTACATCCTTATAAGAACCAAGTAATTTCAAATTTGAAGGTGCAAGCCTCTGAACTTTCCGATTTGGACGAGAAGTCCATCAAGCACGAACTCATGAGCCACCAAAGATTGTAAAATCTGATACATCTTCGTGTGCTGTAACCTTTTCTTGTTTAAATTTGTTTGTAAAACATGTGCCTTATTCTATCTCAGAACGGGCTTAATACTATTATAATGTGCTCAAGTATGTAAAACAATTAAATTTCTTGAAACCAATAAAGGGTTTGATCTTAAAACGGAACATAAAGAACACTGAAATGTGCTATAACGGTAGAATAGTGATGGTCTTATAGTAATTGATATGCCTTTGTTATCAGTGTTTGAATTCTTTTTATAGTTTGTCACAAAACATTATAATAAGACTCATTTCAAAAAACCTCCCGTATCCTAAGCATTTGATCATGTAGTGTTATTATAATTTTTCGCGCGTGTTTGATCGTCATGACGAAAACCATTTTGTTCAACTCAACGATCATGACCGGTTGCATTCCCCACCAAGGTTTTTTATATTGGCAAATTATAGTTCTTCGAGCTTTACATGTTATACATTAAATCGCAACTGCCTATTTTCCTAAAAACAACATTTTTTCAAAATATTCATCAAACGCTTATCCTTTGAATCCATACGCTCCTACTGTTTACTTTCTTGTCTTCAATACAGGGATGAGATTCTTCATTTTAACTGCCATCATTCATTATGCTATATCTGCGGATGTTAAAATAAACACCAAATATGGTTCTGTTATTGGTTTTCAAAAAACATATGATGATGAGTTCACTATGAACCTTTACTTGGGAGTGCCGTTCGCTGCTCCGCTGAGTAGACAAGACCGTGGCAAAGTATTTACAGATTATTTTCAAACATCTATAGCGTGTTTAGCAATCAGTTGCTCCGGAGAAATGGCAAGGAGATTGGGTAGCTCAACAGTATAAACCAGCTTGTCTGCAGAACGTTAAAGAACAAAACACTCTGAGTGTTAGTGAAGATTGTCTGTATTTAAATATATTCACACCGTCGGAGGTTAGTTATTTGAAATTAGCACTGTTTGAAGTACGCAACTAACAGTGTAAATCAAAATACCCAATTGTTGTGTTCATCCATGGAGGAGGCTTTGTTGAAGGTTCAGCTATTGAGCCAGACTATTATCCTCTAGCTAGAAACTTCGTACCCAAAGACATCATCGTGGTTACCATTCAGTATCGCCTAGGAGTACTCGGTAAGATGTTTAGTGTTAATCTATATTTCAAATTGCATAGGCTTCCCCGCTATCAACGGTTCGACGAACCTCGGCCTGTGGGATCAAATACTGGCACTTAAATTTGTGAAAGAGAATGCTGCTAATATGTGCGGTGATGACTCAAATATAACCTTATTAGGGCATAGCGCTGGTTCCATATCAGTCAGTTTATTAACAACTTCGCCTTTTGCGGCAGGTATATCACTCCATTAATAAACCTTTGTCACCAGCTCGCTTTCAGGGCTTTTTCAGAGAAGTATCCAGTTGAGTGGTTCTGGCTGGTCAATGAGTTCTTATAAGAACTTAGCCATCAGCTCCACAGCGAATTTTTTTAAACAGTTAAACTGTACCAAAAGTAGTTTAGACTGCCTTAGAGCAGCTACTTCAGAGCAGATTCTAACTTATCAAGTAAGCCAGCTTAAAAAAGAGAGTTCATCCTCATTCAGGTGACTGGTACCTTCTTCCCCTATATGGGAGACACTATCATACCGATAGCTCCACAGCATCTGTTTCCTCAAGAAACACCAACAATGCCGGCAATGATATCTATCATGTCTACGGAATACTTATACTTCAGTTAGTCGAACATTAACACCGCTTAAGCAATCAGTGTAGCTTATCTCAAAGCCAATCCTGTAACATTCCCCAGTGTGGATAGATACGTGGTCGAAGGGCAGGTGAACACTTCTATACTGCCTCGGTTCCCAGTGAATCGATGGTCTGAGGTTTATAAAGATTCGATCAACTTTTTTTTGTCTGAGAATCGCACGGATTATACTTATTTCATGGAACAAAACACCTATGTAAACCTATTGGTTGGCTTATTAACCATGACGTTCGTCGATTGCAGATTCTGTCATCTCTGTTCATGAACACAGCGATAGTCCGAGAAGCTAACGAGAGAAGTGCGAAGTCGAACATTTATGTTTATCACTTTGACTATTACAATCCTGATGAGTTCCCTAGCGAGTTTCCTATGAAATGTAAGTTCAGACGAGAATTCTTTACAAGCCTTTCCATCAGCTACATATCACTGCCATGAGTTCCCCTACATATTCGGTCAATATTTGGATAGAACATATACGTTTGATGACACAGATGAAGATATTCAAAAAATGCTTCTGGACAGTTTAACGAGCTTTGTCAAAACTGGGTAAGTGTGATATGTGAAGGAACTTACAGCAGAACTGTTTGAGAACTCCCACTTCGGAAAGTATTGAGTGGACAACGTTCGATTCGAACTTCACTCACATAAAGATATCGCCGGAGCCTACAGTGGAGAGAGGTTTGTAGGTTCTCAAACTGCCATTCTCCTCACGGAGGTTTCAGATCTGTTCCGTTCGGACTTCAACTTTTGGGAGAAGATGAAGAAGTACGGAGTAGATGCCATAACCCTGGATAAAACAGATAAGAGCTCAGCAAAATCAACAATCATCTTCACAATCCTTTCATCAATCTATTTATTAGCATTTTAAGGAGAAGTTTTTAAAAAACTGAGGAGATTCTAGCATTATCATTTCCAGAAAAAAAATTTGAATTTATTCTATATGAACATTTACAATAATTCTCTTGAGGGGTCAACGAACTTTCTCAAACACCTAATATTACAAGTCCCTGACGAAAAAAACAATGACTAGGTGTTAAGATGTTTCCTTATGCTTCTAACGATTTGAATTTTGGGTCCGAATTCGTTAACGGAGGCTAACTTCCAAAATCAAACTTTTCGGACTTCGAAACGGAATAGAAATCTAAGACCTGAAACATTTCGTGTTGTGATCCTTCCATTAATTCAACAAACCACATGACATATATCCTCTACTATCGTTGAAGTCAAATTCAGAATGTGCTCGTCCCACCAGTCAGGTTTCGGCTGGAAATACTGGCATTTAATTATAGAGCAAACAGATTTCTCACTGTATACGTTTTAGTGTTCATGTGGAAAGAGAGATCAATGAAAGCAACTGCTAAAACCTGAATAGCTTGCTTTAAATACACTAAAATTGATCTTACTTGTGGCTCCCAGAGTAGGCAGAGAGTTGTGGCATAGCTGTCATTCACGAAGGCATAAGCTGCCTGCATATATCTTTTAGACTGTAAAATGAAGATGAACCAACGACAAACGAAATGAACCTACAATCTCAGCACTGAGATTATGCTTCTGAATATATTCCAATAAATACTTGTAAGGATGATCCACTTGCAGATCGAACTTTAACGTTCTTAACAAAACCCTTTCTATTCCCATAATGTCTTCCTAGGTAGCAACATGAGGCAAATTGATGAACTATGACTTACTGGTTTTGTTTCCGTATATAAGGAGGGAAATTGAGTCTGGGCTACTCTTAACAAATCTCGAACCTTCTTCGGTGTCTCTTCTACCTTCCCGGCCAAGAACAAACATCCTAGTGCGGCCAACTGAAAAACTACATCAACACAAATCAAAAGAATACTACCAACTTCACGTGGAGTATTCTGAAAACTATGACTCATGTAAAACCGATGAAAATAAACTGCAGCTGTGGCTAATGTGGGGTTGACCTTTCTGGTTTTCGATAATACTTAAACTGCTCAACCTACAAGTTCTTACAATCTGAGAGTTTGTCCAATGCTCATTATCATTTTAATTCCTTCTCTCCTGAACCTTTCGTCTGCCTCATATGTGCAACCTTGTTTAATTGATGGAGTACTCTGAAAGTTTCTCTGTCATATTCTGTTTTGTTTAAATGTTACCTTTATTGAGTCCTGTGGAAATATCCAACCGGATGGAAATAGCATTTTCCTTTTTATTCAGTTTGAGATTTTTTCAATTTATATTCATACTTTGGCGTTTCAAATGAAGCAAATACGCAGCTCTTCCCTCGAACATTTTTCATTGCACGTCCGTTTCTAGGGTTCAACTGACTTTCGCAATAACTTCATTGCTGTTTTAACAAATTTATTTTTACAAACTAGTTCAATTATCGGAAGTTCCCCTTAATTTACTTGTGCTGCTACAGAACTCAAGCTGTTCTTCTCAGATAAGACTGTCGTCATAGAGAAATGATTAGATTTAAATCTAACAAGAGATAATATTACTCAATGCCCGTATCAAAAAATCCTCGAATCCTTAGAAACTGGCCAATCTTTTCTTTTATTGCGTTCTAAGCATTTAGTTTGACAGTTTAGTTGAGATTCTGATGTTTTTCTTCCTATTTGAAGACAGCTGATCTAAATATCTCGGTTGCTTACTTCATACGGAGTGGGTCTCAAAGAGTGAAGCGTAACAACTGTGTACAGAGAAGGTCTCAAAGCAGTTTGTTTCAATGAAGTTCATTGAGCACCTTTTCATTACTCCGGATGCTCAGTGATTTATAGTTCATTTTATTTCGATGAGGTATATTCCTGTTCAAACTACTAAGATGTGCATTTGAGCAAAAAAAATTTTAGAACTGCCTGTTTTGCGAATTGTTACATCTTTTTACCATCAGAAAAAGCACAACCGCTAACTTCAGAAGAGTTATAAGGAATGAAAAGTCGAAAAGCTTCATTCAAGAGTGAGCTATGCAACTATCGGTAGTGTACTCAGGTCCCACCGCTAACTATGCAATACAGAGAGAAATGATTTTCAAGTAGTGTGGTATTAAAATACTATCTGATCTCATACGTTTTATTGTATCCGAGCACCATCTGATATCTATTAGTGGACGCTCTAAAACATCTCATTTCACCTCCCAAATTGATGCTTGGTTGTACTATCAATGAACCTGGCTCGGAAATGCATTTTCTCTGTCCGCCGTGAGTAAGACATAACTTGTTACTTCTAAAGTTTATTGCAACAAACACTTCTAACTGATTCTTTGGCACATTAGTTCGAAGACTCGTAGCTACTTCTTAAACATTTGCCGGAGTATCAGTTGTAAGTCATGTTCTGTTGTAGTATCCAACTATCCACGCTATTCCTATACATGTTCTATATCATCTATATTATTTCAATCACTTATCTGTGATCCTATCTCCCGAATGAGGGTGAACTTTGTCGCTTATATATACTACTGTTCCATGACTTTGTTGTTTAGACACTCCTTTTTAAAGATCGAGTGCATCGAACTGATAACGGGGGTCAACACGAGCACCAAGCTGTGGTTTCTACTTCCTTGTAGAGTGTAATAGTACTTTCTTACAGTGTTTTGGAGTTTCTATGCTTATAAGCCGGTGAGATCCTGACGTCACTCCCTCTCTGTTTACAGACACCGACAATACGTATGAGATTTTGACACGTTTGTCACCTTGTTTGGATGAATGTTTTTAGTTTTTCTTGAAGAATCTTTATCTGAGTGCCCCGTATTTAAAGGAGGAAGCTCGGGAGATGTCACCCTCAACTCGATTCGTCAACGAAGATGAAATTTGCTGTATTGGTAAGTTAGCCCAAGTTCTTATACCCTTCATTCGTTTCAATTTGCACGACACATGAATAGGGTCTTTCACCTTCCATGAACCGGACGATGAGCTATTCTTCTGTTCCAGATTCTTCTTTTCTCTGCTACCTTATGTTTTGCTGAATCTCCTGGCTTCTGGCCACAATGTTAGTTTGCGAATGATTGCTGCTTTAATTCTTTAAAAATGTTTTCAGTTTGTCGCGCCGGAGAAGTCTGGAGCCAATGTGCGTCCTGTGAACCAACATGTGCTGATCCGAATCCTGTAATAGAACTTCCGAGTTGTGTGAAATTTAGTTTATTTCCAGAGATGCACCAAAGAATGCCGCCCTGCTGCCTGTCAATGTGCCCCCGGCTTGGTCCGTCACCCCATCACGAGAACATGTATAAAACCAGAGATCTGCAGTGAGTTTTGCAATATCACCCTTGTTTATTGAAGCTTAACACTTTACTCATTTTTTGAGATGTAACTATATGCCCAATTGGAGAGATTTGGAACCCATGTGCAACTTGCGAACCATCTTGTGCTGATCCGAACCCTGTAATACATCTTTTGAACTTCTGGAATGACAACTTCTGTTTAGATTTGCACTAAAGAATGCCGTCCAGCTGCCTGCCAATGTGCCCCCGGCTTAGTCCGTCACCCCATCACGAAAACATGCATCAAGCTCGAACAATGCAGTAAGTGATTATGAACACAGCCTGAATCATTTAGAGAGAGCCCTGTAGTATTCTTCGTGTTTCAGAAGCTCCAACTCCCCGATGCGGGTTCAACGAGGTATACAATGAGTGTGGTACCATGTGCCCACCTCAATGTGACATAATCCGTGGAGTAATCGTGGTTTGGTTGATTCTCTGAAACTTCATCATTTTTTATTTTTCTAGAAAGCCGAAGTATGCCCCGCTGCCTGCAACCCTGGATGTCAGTGTGCGGCTGGCCATGTCAGATTCATCGGAGTTTGCTTATCAGAAACGATTTGTAGAAGATATTACTAAAGTGAGCAAGTCATTCAAATAAATTTTTTAATTTACTTTTTTCTCTTTCTCTCAACCCATCCGAGTAAAAAAGACACTCAGTGAATCCGTACAAGGGAGTCGGGAGTCGGTCGTAGTTTGGATATGATAGTTTTGTAATGACTCTTTACATGTTAACGTTAGAGAATGTTTGTCATCAACGGGTTTTGCTTAATCTGTTACCCGGTAGAAACCTACGAGTGTCGTTCAAAGTTTGTAGATGGATATATGAAATCAAGAATCTATTCACCAGAGAGCGGCCATGTTTCACTGAAGAATGCAGTGAGGAGTGGTTGTTATTCACTTTCTTCTACTGTGTTTATAGTCACCGGTTTTGCACATTTACGGTGCGCGCATGAAAAAGCTAAAAACAACTTTTCTAAGAAATGACAGATTTATTGTACTTTCTAGATTAGAACATTTTTTTCAACTTTTTCACTCTCACATTTAGGGGGCTGCGAAAGAGGTGCGCTCAACTGAGCTCTAAGAAGATCAGTTCATGAAGACTTCAGTTACCAAAAGTATGTTCACGTATCCTACACTACTTGCCGTTCCACCAAAAATGTCCCGATCAAAGTTGGTATTCTCGAGCATTTGATGTTGTTCATTCATTTTCTTTTTGATTTCCGCTTTCATTTGTTTTCCTTCTTCACGCAGTTCTGATTTCTGAATGTAATGAAGCTGCCACTCTGCATTATATTTGCATCGACTTCACTGGGAAGATGTAGCCACACGTTGCTACAATCCAATGTTGCAAACAAGCTGTTGATGATGATTTGGCGGTTTATGTAAGAATGGAATTATTTGTATTTCCATTCTTACATAAACTGCCAAATCAACATCAACAGCTCCCCCTTTTATCATTGAACCGACTAAGCAAGTAGACGGATTACACATACCTGAGATGTCTTTCTATGTTATTACTATGCAGTGTTTATCACTTGTCGGCTTCTTCATCATCTTCTTCTCATTCTACCTTCTCATCTTTGTTCCAACCAAGATGAACACCTTCACCCGCTTTGTGGTTCATGGACATGATTTGACGTGAGTTCTCAATTTCAATCTTTCTTCAATGTTTTTCAAGATCTGCCATAACTCAGCTCTATATTACATTGGGGACAACACCGACTCTCCTGTTCCCATGTGCATCTGGCTACACCAATGGTTTGCTTTCCTCTTTAGGAATGAAGCCATTGGATCAACTGTGGATTCAAATGGCATTGGTTACTAGTAACGACCTGAAGAAAGTCTATGAAACAATTAAACATTTCAGTCGGTGTATCGTCTTCTGTCTTTCTCACTATCAATAGAGCGTTTGCAATAAGTTCAAGAATGAAGAAGTATAAGAACCTTATCATAACCTCATACTTCGTGCAGCTAACCGGCGAAGTTATCTTTTTGTATTTCGCTGGTATGAAATTGAAAGACGGTGGAGAAGAAGCACGGCAGATATGTCTTAAGGTTTCGCGTTTCTTTTTGATTTCTTCGAACCTTTCTTCAGAAACTACCATATGAATATCCCAAAGTCATGTACAGCTCCCGAGGAATAGATCTATCGTTCCAAGATACTGGAGTGTTCATGATCTGTTTACATGCGACGATCTTTACTATTATTTACTTGTTGATTGGAGTTGTTTGTTGCTCTATCCTCATTCAGAGTATCACAGAACAGGCGAAGTCATCACAGTCAACTCAGTTCTTAGTCAACCAACGCAGAATGACTTTTGGAGTTCTCTATTTCGTAAGATTCTTTTCACCTGTCGAGATCAAAGTAGTTCAGATGGTCGTTGAGACAGTTGGTTTTGGCTGCCCGTTTGCAGTTCTCTGTTTTTGTGTTTTCTTGAATGTGGGGAATTCGGGTAATGCTTCTCTTGGACAGCGACTTCCTAATAAAGTGTTTCAGCCGTCTCTGATTTCGCCTTCATCTTCATGTGCACCTATCCAATATTTGGTCCATACTATGTTCTCATGTCCAACACAGATTACAGGAACAGAGTAAGAGGCATACTTAAGAAAGGTTGGTTTATGGAGCTCGTTCTATTCTCACTGCTCCACTACTTGGTGACCATGCCAATTTTAAAAGATACTTCTTTCAGTTCGTGAATTAGGGACAATTCACTTGAGTAATTGAACCTCTTTCCTCCTGGAAGGATAATTCATGTAGCCAATTCATGTTCTGTGCATTGTATATGTTGTTAATCCTCGTGTTGTAAATCTTTTCTTTAGGATAAACTTGTTTGAGTTGAATTTCTTGTTGTTTGATAGGGACTGTTAGGTGATAGTGGACTCGAAGTACTTTGACCGGACTGGATCAGGGGAAGAGGTCCGTGCGCTTTGTTGTTTGGTCAAATATTGATGGTCCATTTATACCGTGTTTGGTGATAAAGATGTGGCAGGATAGCCGAGTGGTATACATGGGGATCTCACAAGAACAAGGATGGTTCGATTCCCGAGGAAACTTCTACTGGCCCGAAGAAAGT